ATCTTCACCACCATGTCAGGTGTTGGGAAATGGCCTTGTGTTATTTTCACCACACAAGGAACAAAGAAAAAGCTTTTGCAATGTTGTGTTTGCTTTAGTTTAGAGAAAGTCACAATTAAGCAAAATAAATGAAACACATACCATTTGACTTTTCACTATCTGCAGGTTTCATCTGAATAGGATGATGCATCTAAAACAAAAATGAAAGACAGTAAGGCAGGTTGGATAGTCATAAAAATCAAGAATTATGTTTTTAATGAATGGCTTAAAGTATACATTATTAATATTAAACATGTTATAATGATATAAATTCAAAACAGCATTATACTATAGGGTTTTAAGAAAAAAAATGGTAAAGGAACACTTTATAGCTAGGAAGATTAAAATAAAATAGATCATTGGGCCCATAGGACTCATATAAAACTTTAATTTGCTTATCTAGTTTCAGAAGACCTCTAAAGTTACAGCCCTCATTAAGTTATGGCACACTTGGTTTCTGTTTTACCAACTTTTTTTTTCTTGAGCTCAACCACTGCCAAAACTGAGATGGAATTTTCAAGTAATCTAACAGCTAGAAAGCATTTCAAACATACTCAGAGGAGCTGAGTTTGACAAATGAACTTTGCTTGTAATTAAAAAAACATGTGCTGATTCTTTCAGGACTGAAGAGGAAGAGATTTCCTATAATAGCTTCCTATGACTGTTGGTATCTCTTTTTTTTTTTCTTTTTATTTATTTTTAGACTACATTATATATTCATTCATAAAGCTTCCATCACAACACGGCACAATTTTGGCTTCCATAAAATCTCCATATAATTTTCCCTTTTCTTCTCCATTCATGTCCCTCTCAGTGCCAAAGAAACCAACCCCTGCGTGCCACACACTTTGCTGAATGTCACATGGCATCCTACCTTGGCACACTTAGTATGGTGGGTCCTCAGCTTTCACTACTCAGTCAAGCTCCCCAGCACACTGCATTGTTGGTAACTCCAAGAAAATGTTTACATCTGGATTTTTCTGTTTTTTCAGGAACAGCAACACAACAGTTGAGCTCCTTCCAATCAGTGTGTGTGGCATTTCCACTGGACATTGGTAATAGCCAGCCCTTTGGCCACTATAATGGATTCAGGGAAATTTTCTTACAGCTTCTCAAAAGCCTTCAGAAATGATCTTGTACTGAGCTTCAATGTGGGAGACATTTAACCTTGCAAAACCCATCACACTTATTTTCTTCCATAGGGCTCTGCAGAGCTGCTGGGGTTCGACAGCACAAACCTGGCAGCAGCAGGTCCACTGCCTTTTCTCTCCTTAGCAATTCCTCACCACTTCACACGAGCATGTAAAAAAAAAAAATCTATGCTCTTTCTGCTTTTATATCATTTTTCAGTGTAGCAGAGTCAAGTCTTGCCTGAAAATGTCAGAGGCAATTCCATTTTTTAAATAAAAGACTATTATGGCAAACTTTGGGAAACAAAAACAGCTGAGGGCATGGAGAACATCCATGCCCTCATATCAAATGTGCTATCAAAACAGCACAGAAAACCAAATCTGCATTGCTTTTGGTAGAGTCACTTAACCTCCAGGGACACAGTTGCTAGATTCTTCAGATAATATAAAATATTGCTGTGACTGTTTCCATAAGATTTACTCAAAGGCCATTACACTCCATGTACAAATCAATGCTTTCCTTATACTGCCTGCAAAACTCCCCACGGTGCCCTAAGGAAAAGGCAAAGCCACAAGGTGGATGTAGTCACCAGGATGCATAAATGTGCTTCAATTTTAACAATTCTGATCTCTTAGAATCATTTGTTTCCCTTTCCCAAATGGACTTTAGTAGCCCTGCACTTGTCTGCCACCACTCGTATTCAAGCTAATTTATACAAAAAGGGAACTTCCATTGTACCCTGTCTTCTTTAACTAGAGCTTAACATTTATTCTGGCATCAACAATACACTGGGCACTGCAGGAGACCTTAAATTCATGGGAACATGATGCAGCATGTCCACTCAGCAAGCAAAAAGTGAAAGAAGAGTAAGGTGCAACTTGGTCCATGAGCCTATTGCAGGTACTGATGTCCCTGAGAAGCAATAGAGTGGTGAGAAAATAGAGGAAAGAAAACTGAGTATTGAACATTTGGGAATATGCAGGTTGTAGAAGAAAATTCCAACCCAAATTCAAACCTTTCATCTCTGTCATTCTTTCTAGCTGCATTTATACACTCCTGAGTGGAGGTTTGTAGAACAAAGGCAATTCTAACAATGTTAAAAATACTTGACTTTTCAAACTGCCTGAACCAGAGAAACCAGTTTTAGAGCAGTCAGGTGAAGAAGGTATTTTTGCAGCCCCTCAGTCACAACATAAAGATTGGTGTTACCTGAAAAAACACAGTTACCACATCAGAAACAATCCCCTTCTGTTATAGATATGCACCCCAAGTTCATTAAGTTAGTAATCTGTTCACATTTAACTAGAGGCTTCAACTGGGTTTTGACTTGACTCCAAAGGCTCCTGCTAAAAAAGCATGGTCCAAATTCTCTTTGCCAAAGTCAGGAGTGATGCTGCTGAACTTAGCAAACTTCTATCGGTGCAAAACTAATAAAAGATTCAGATCAGTCCTGGAGAGTTTAAACAGCAGAACACCCATGGTAGGTAAATGGATGGGACACACAAACATGGCTTTGGTGAAGGGGAAGGTGGAAAACACGTTACTGATGGGTTCCTAACACGAGAAGGCTCACATTGAAGCTTGTTTAACCCTGACCATCATGAATTGATACGTTAACAACCTTTAACACTAGATTCAATAAAACATGCCATTTATAACCTGAAATGGGTTTTACAGAGTCACTGGTTCGCATCTCATTATTAAACTCATTGGTGACCTCTAGAGACAACTGCCGTGACAATACATATTATAAGCTCTCTACCCATAAAATATTTAAAAGTAAGTGTAAAAAAAGAAAAGAAAAGAATGAATCTCAAAGAAGTGTGCAGTGAATACGAAAATTAAAGGGGCAGAAACAAAGGCTAAATAGGTACTATCCTTTCACTCTACAATGAGCAAAAGAGAAAATAATCTGTGCATTTTATATCTTGCTTGTATAACTGCAGGCTATAAAATAATAAAATAGCTATGCTTTCTGAGGCTCTCCAAAAGATTATAGATGATATAAACCTGTTTCAAATTAGATGCCACCCACTAGAATCATGTCATCTACTGAAATGAAGGATTTCATGTCTTATCCGAAAGCCGTTATTGTAGCCATACATCACAAAGCCATACACTTATGGATCTCAAGGTAAGTGATTTCTCACTATGTCATGTCATACAGAAAAACAGGAAACATTTTATTCTGCGCATGAAGAAAGCTTTGCTTACAAAAAATACAGTATTTATGAATGCACAGCTGCAATTAATAAATAGACAAGAGTGAGAAAAGTAAATGCAGTAAATAATTTATAGGCATTAGCATCGTCCTGTGCTTGGACCCTATAGTAAAAGAAAACATCACAGCTCTCATGCAAGTTACTTCTGAACGTGGGCAGCTTCCCCCAGCAAGCACCGTGCATGGGGATATCGAAACCAGATAGGAGAACAGGCTGTAAGGAACAACCTCTCCTGGGAAGTAGTTCAGAGAGCTCTGTGGGATGCAACTGTGCAGCCAGGAATGGCATGGCCTGCCTTTCCTACACACGCTCCCTATCCATAGGTCTCAGAACACACTATGGCCACTGTGTCACCACCGAGAGCAGCCCTGTGCCCAGGGCTGGGCAGTGCTGGGTGGCAGCGCTGGCGGCAAAGCAGAGGCTCCATCTGCTGCCCCTGCTGCCATAGAGGCCACGCAAAGCCTGAGGCCAAGCACCTCACTGCTCCTTCTTGGGTGCATCCCAAGCAGGGCTGCTGCTGTGGTCCATGGGAACCAAAAAGGAAAAGAAACAGCTGCCAAACAGGCAATCATCAAAAACCAATGGTTGCTGTCTATGCTGAGGGCAGCAGAAGGATGGAGCCATGGTACCAGAATTACAATTGACTAGTTACAGATTTCTTCCCTCTCTTCTTCCTGAGTACATCTCACCGTATGTAAATACAAGCTCATTAGAGAAAAAAACAGTCAAGCGGCCCAAAAAACCTCTCAAAGGCATGTGTCCTCTCCATCTTCAGAACCTCTAAGTCATCTTTTTGACAATAATGATTCTGCCCCTCTGCTCTGTTGAGACTCCACCTGGAATACTGTGTACAGTTCTGTACAGTATAAGAAAGATATAGTTGGAGAGGGTCCAGAGAAGGGCCACCAAGATGATCAAAGGCCTGGAGCACCTCTGCTATGTAGACAGGCTGAGAGAAAGCTGGGGAGAGGCTTTTCATCAGAGAAGATACTGATAGGACAAAGGGTAATGGTTTTAAACTGAGAGAGGGGAGATTTAGGTTAGATATTAGGAAGAAATTCTTCACTATACAGGTGATAAGGAACTGGAATGGGTTGTCCAGGATGGTTGTTGATGCCCCATCCCTGGAGGTTTTTAAGGCCAGGTCAGATGATGTCTTGTGCAACCTGGTCTAGTGGTAGGGTTCCCTGCTCATGGCAGGGGGGTTGGAACTAGATGATATTTAAGGTCCCTTCCACCCTTAATGGTTCTATGATCCTATGAATAACGCTACCTATTTACATTCTTGTCAAAGCCATGTGACATCTGCATGGGAGAAAACAAGCCGGCTAAGAGTCTATTTCTGGTAAAAATTTTGCAAGGAAATTAAATTAACCTGGGTAGAATTCTATCTGGGAATTTGGAGCCTGTCGTGGTGATTAAGTCATCATTTCTGTCAGATTACTCTAATCGGCTGTCAAATACGATTCCACAACCCCATCTGTAACTTGGCATCCTCCTTATTCAGTGGATGTTACTTTCTGTATACAAAACAAACCCCAAACAAGGAGGTGTGTGCAGCCTAGCATTTAGCACAGTCATTAGCTGTGATTACCATTGTGTGCTTGCACATCGTGCCATGTGATCAGCTAACACCTTGTTCCATTTAGCCACAGGTGCTTCAAATCAGATGTAACCTTAAACTAGTGCTAGGGGTGAAGAACTGTCTCCAGTCATGGCCAAGCACAGATTGGCACACTCTGAGTCACCACCACATCACCAGCAACTGCTTAAATCTCATTTTGGAGTTTTCAGCTTA